TATAACCTTATAAATACTCCCATTTTTTTCAAAAAAAAAAATCACTCAATCCATCTCTCATTCTCTCAATATATCATTCTCTCAAATCTCAATCTTATATTCTTATTATTATCTTTTTTATATTTTATATATATATTTTATATATTAATATATAAAATTTCGAAATTAATTTAAATTTTTGAAATTTAATATTTTATTTTATTTAATATCAAAAAATATATAAGTTATATTTTAAATATATTCTTTACTTTTTGAAATTTTCGAAATTTTAATATATAAAATTTCGAAATTTTTTTAAATTTTTCAAAATTAATATTTTTTTTAATATCAAAAAAATATATATTAAAATGTCGAGAGAGTCCGGTAGAAGGTCCGTGGATATGGGCGACGTGAACCGAAGTTTGAGGAAAGGCAAAGCTAAAACCACCTCTGACATTTCGACCTCACGCGGACGCGGTTCTCGAGGAAGACACTCCGTCTCTTCCTTTCCTACTATCCCCGATCACTTAATCGGGGACGCTATGACGGATGAAGAATTCGACCAGATTTATTCTGGTAGAGGGGACGCAAATCTCCCCACTCTTGATAGTGTATTCGAAGATTTTGATGAAGCAAATCTGGATAATCTGGACGGGGACTTGGAGCCTACACTGCAGAGCAACGACGTCGACGTGGAGGCAGGTGAGCCCGAGACCTCTCGAGGTCCGGACAAAGGTAAAAAAATATAAATCAGATTTATTTGTTTATCATTTTGACAAAGAAACAAAAGATGGCATAGTTTATGGAACTTGTAAACATTGTGGGACCGTCATAAAAATGGGAGTTTCCGGCGGTAATGGCGGTCCGGAAAAACACCTAAGGTCGAGGCATCCCGTGGTTTCTTTACGGTTCTTTACCTCGTCGCTTTTTTTGAACCGTCAGGATATTAAATGTGGTTGTTCTTCAGTTAGTCTATTATTCATTTAAAATATTTAAATAACAACTACATTTTTAGATTTTTTATTTCATTTTTTCCTTAAACAATTGCAAATTTTATACTTTAAAAATTTTAAAAAAAGCAAAAAAAAAAAAATAGGGGGGGGGGGGCGAAACCGGCCGGTCCGGTACCGGAACCGCCGGTCCGGGAATCGAAACCGGTACCGGCCGGCACGGTGACGGTTCTGGTGACATGGGGTGGCGGTACCGGAACCGGCGGTTCCGGAACCGGAACCGTCCCGGAACCGTACCGTGTTGACCCCTATTGTCCACCCTTGTCTTTAATGACTAATGAGTCATTTTTGTTATGTACAAATGTCTTTTGATGTTCTCCATGTCTAAGTTAGACCTTTGCTTTTCCCATTTGTAAGCCTATAAATAGAGGCTCCATATGTTGAAATGTGATATCCTTCTCCTTAGTCTATTGATCTCATTGCATTGTTTCTCCTTTGATTCTCCATTACACTTTGATCTTTGATTTGTGCTATCAAGGTATATCTCTATCACTTGTTCATAACGATATTCGTTTAATCTTTATTTTTAACACGTTATCAGCACGATACTCTAAAAATTTACTCTTCATATCTTGTCCTTGTTCATATTCATGTTATATATATACATATACATATACACTTATTTATTTTAGTTTTTTAGTGAACTTGTAGATATATTGAATCTAAAACTCCTAAATATATTAGAGAATTGGCATGTGAAGCCTACATTATGTGTTAAAGTTGAAGATTATATGATAAAACTCAACCTGAAGTTTGAGTACATATTATGTCGAAAAAATTTCATTTCTTTAGTTTTTTTCTCTTTTGGCTAGTGAACTTGAAGTTCATATTCTGATTTCATATGCTCGAAGCATTTTATTTCTTTGAGTATGCCACATGAATATATAGGTGACATTATTATTTACTTTGCAACAAAGAAATAATAATAATAATATTAATATTATAGATTTATTATTTGTGATTATGTAATGTGCTCTAATTTCTCATTATATCCATAGTTTTGCTCGAATTGTAACCTCCGCTATAATAATAATAATAATGCATAATAAATAATAATAATTGAGACTCTTCAAGTACCTAAGCCGTTTTTTTATTAAAAAACCTATTATTCAATCAAACACATTAATTTATTTATTTTTAATCTACTAATTTGATATATGTGTATATGTGTGTTTTAAAAAAAATATACAATTAGAATTATTTGATAAATAAAATTGTCTTGTATGGTGCAATTTACATATACATTTGTTTTTTTTAAACTAGTAGATTCTGGTAATTAATTACAAAAAAAAAATCAACATGAAATATATGACTAAAGGTTAGGATCAACGAGCCCACATGGTTCTAAATAATAATAATTTATAATTTATTGTCAGTGATGGGTAACCTCACCAAGCTTGAATTTGCTGCCCTTGACATTTCCGGAAAAAACTATTTGACATGGGTTCTTGATGTTGAGATTCATTTGAATGCAATAAACCTTGGAAATGCTATTAAGGAAAATGGTGTGGCTAGCGAACAAGAAAAAGCAAAGGCAATGATTTTCATACGTCATCATCTTCATGAGGGCCTGAAGTCCGAATATATTGGGGTCAAAGACCCTGCAACTCTTTGGAGTGACTTGGAGGAGAGATACAACCATCTAAAAAGTGTGATACTTCCAAAGGCTCGTTATGATTGGATGCAACTAAGGTTGCAAGATTTCAAAACAGTAAATGAGTATAATTCTGCTATGTTTAGGATTGTTAATCAATTAAGGTTGTGTGGAGACACCGTCACTGATGCTGATATGTTAGAGAAAACATTTACCACTTTTCATGCCTCTAACATGCTTTTGCAGCAGCAGTACCGAGAAAAAGGATTTACTAAGTATTCCCAACTTATCTCTTGTCTCCTTGTTGCTGAACAAAATAATGATCTTCTCATGAAAAATCATAACTCTCGCCCTACTGGCTCTCAACCATTCCCTGCAGCGAATGCAATTAATTCATTTCCAGAAGCGAATGCTAATTTCCGTGGACGAGGGCGTGCTCGTGGTCGCGGTCGTGGCCGTGGTTTCGGTCGTGGTTATGGGCGAGGTCGAGGAGGATTCAACAACAATGTTTTTAGTAAGAAATCTGTACCAAACCACTCGAAGTGGGAAAATAATGACCAAAAACAAGAAAAGGGGAAGACCGTTAAAGGTGATGCTTCAAAACAAAGGGATGAAATTTGTTACAGATGTGGAGTGAAAGGTCATTGGTCTCGTACTTGTCGTACACCAAAGCACCTTGTTGACCTCTATCTAGCATCTACCAGAGAAAAGGGAAAAGGAAAGGAGATAAATTTTGTTGATTTTGACAACGACTTTGATACTACAATTGAGCCGATGGAAGCAACTCATTTTGATGTGGATGATTTTCTGATTGAGCCAAGTCGTGATATTAATGGGGCTGAATTTTATGGTGGTGATGCTTCAGTCGACCAAGATAAAAATTAAGGAGTGATTTTAAGTCAAGTTTAATTTATGTTGCAAAATAATATGTATTTCCAATTTCAAGTCTTGTTTGTTGTGTCCTTTTTCAGTCGAGTTTACTTTATGTTACAAAATTATATGTATTTCCAATTTCAAGTTTTGAGTCATCATGAATAAT